CCCCTGAGCACTGCCAGGAGTGACTAGAAATAACGGTCACAAGCTGGCAGAGGGTAAATTGAAATTAGACATCAGGAGGCGCTACTTCACTGTCAGGGTGGCTAGGAGCTGTAACCAACTTCCAAGAGAAGTGGTGCTGACTCCTACCCTGGGGGTCCTTAAGGCAAGCTAGACAGTCACCTTGCTGGGGTCGTTTGACCCCAGTACTCTTTTCTGCCACGGCAGGGGGTCAGACTTGATGATCTGCTCAGGTTCGTTCTGACCCTACTATGAAACTAAACTTTTATCATCCCAGCACTGGTAGAATCTGTCGTGTTCAAAAATCCAAAGAAATCTTCTTTTATCTTAATGCTGCTTTCTCACAACTTCATTCCTTCTTCTGCAGAAATGGATCTAACAAACTTCATTAGCTCTTGTTTACTGGTGTCTTTGCTGCAGCCAGATATAATAAAATAATACTTGGCAGTTTTCAAGACAGAAAAAAATTCCTTCTTGATTATGTTTCTAAGAATTTGAATAATTTTATTTTGAATATTTTTACCCAGGTGATAATAATGAATTCCTTTTTGGGTAACTCATTAGGGATGTTCTTTCATCAGAAGGTCAAATTTCTCACAAACTTAACATGTTCCTATTGGGATGAATAGAGCATGTGTATTGAACCCCATAGGGAAATGCTTTCTATTCAGTGCAGTGTACTCACATCAAAAGTGTTTCCAAAATCTTGCCAATCTTCTATCAAAGAATAAATTTGAAGTTGGTTTTCTTATCAATAATGAACAAAAATAATAATCTTTATGAATAGTGTGAGCTTGCTTTGGTCTAATTTCTAATCCTCCTTACATATGATGACTATTTATGATTTACTGATTTCTCTTCCTTCACTAGAATAATCAGTATGTTCATCCAGTGCTGAATACCACTCCTAGCTAAAGCAAAATCTCCAGAGTTAAGCAACTTTCAGATATAAAGAACATCAGATGAAGTAGAATTAAGCTTTCTCTATTTCAAAACTGGGGTGAACAGCAGAAAGCTTTTTTTTTTAACTATTACTATTCAATGGAAAATTCTTCCAAATTGTATCCACTGGCCCAGAATTCACAAGCAAAAGACAAACACTGTCTTTGATTACTGGCCAGGTCAGCAGGATTTTTCTAAGCACTAATGCTCACTTTCATCCTTTGTAGATTCCTCTGTATTACTTGAATACATGTATAATTGCATCATGATGATGTTAATCAGAGCTGGATACACATTCACAGATGATGGTGTCTCATGGATGATAACATTTTCTTTTTGTTCTTTTCTTTCATACCTATTACAACTAGTGTGAGAGACAAAAACCTTCTTCACTGAGATTATTTTAAGAAGTAGGAGCAGTGACTTCTTGGTTAGATGAACATCCATGACTGGTAGATTTCAATGTATTCAATGGAATTAAAACGGTTTATTTCAGAAATCTTAAACACACTTGATTGTTTTGCAGTATTGGATTCTATTTCAGCTTTCCTTTTGCAGTCCTTAGTTCCAGACATAAGTTTTCATTTTCACAAAAGACTGTCCCCATCAGTTTCAGTTTTAGCCATGGTGATTGATTCTGTCACTGAAGACCATTAGCTAACTGTGGACACAGCTAATTTAAGAACTTCTGAATAACCAAATACAACTGACTTATCCAGATAGAAAGCACTGTGTATTGCTTGCTGGTGTTTGACAGCAGTTTTCACAACATTGCCGATTTTAACAGAAATATTTTATTACAAGCAAATAATAACTGTTTTCCATTTCTGAATATTCCTTTTTGCTGTCTATAACTTCTCCCTAAGGTAGGTTTGCCTACCTTGTAACCCAGTCCAACAGTTATGTCTGAGAATGCTTTATTCTCTGTTCCTATTCATTCCCTGCCTAATTAGCAAAGAATCGGTATGGTGCCAGTACGGTGCCAGTTACCATAACACAGACATTCAGTCAGTAGGAGCTAGAATGAGACCAATACCAAAATTCACACAGCTAATTTTTCACATATCTGGATGTATGCAAGATAACTCTTTTTTCCCGTTGTACATGTTTGTCTATATTTTACATCCTGAAGTATGTAACTTAGGAAATGTATGACCTTGTAAAAATTTATTTTCTCATCTAAGTGTTGAACAGAATACAGCTGAAGGGATACTAGTAAATCTTCTTGGCCTTAAAGGCTAGGGACAGACACTCAAAAAGCCTGAGCCTGAATTGACTCAATCTTTGCAGGTTAGTCTAACCTGCCTAGAGACTGAATCAGTTTGTAACCACACAGACATCCCCTCTGGACTGAAAACAATCCAGCACATGCCTGCAGTGGCTCAGGCTAGAAGCCAGAGGGCATTAAAGCAGCCCTCCCTTCCCTTCCAAAGTGCTGAGCTTAGGTGGGGCATGGCCAGGCCCAGGCAGGATGCTCTGATTAGGGAGGGGTTCCCTGCCTTCTTGATAACAGAGCATTTATTAGTTCTATCATTAGCATTTAGCACCCCATCAGAAAACAAAGCCTCACTCATTAGTTCAAGCTCTTCTTACACAGCTTTTTCCACAGGAAGGGACACAGGGACATTAGCAGCTGACCTGTTGATTAGCTCCAAAACTCCCTAACCTGACATTGTCCTGTCTGCCTTACACAGATACCTCTCAGCATTAGCTAGCATACCACATGCTGGCTACAGTCCCTGTGGTGGGAGAGAGGAGGAAGGGATCCCTGCTTAAGCAGCGAGTGGGGTGTGGGGAGTGGGGGGTGAGGGAGGCATGGGGAAGCCAGGCAGACCCTGCTGTGCCTACAAGTCTCTGCTGGAGCTCCAGCCCGGGAGCAGAGGGGAGGGGCCTGCTCAGCCCAGAGAGCATGTTGGGATAGTGGGGGAATCTGATTTAACTTAAACCAGGAAGGGATCTAGGACTGATATTGCATATACCGGTTTGATCCAAATCAGTTAAGTCTGATACTACTATATATTCAACCAGGTTTATGTCAAATCAGCTTCAGCCATTTTCAAACTGGTTTATGTGCACTGAATTTCCATTCTGTTACAGGTTTAAACCAGTTTCTAATCAGTTAAATTGTCTTATGTGTTATGTCTGTCCCTAGCAAAAAGCATCCCTTGCTTAAACAAAGGTCATATAAAAATTTAACCATTACCACAGACATGGCTAGTAGGGCTGTGCAAAATGCCTGCATTTTGTTTCAGTTTCGGATTCGGCATTTCAAATCATTGTTTCATTTTGTTTCGGCTGAAACTGTTTCAAGTTTCAATGCTGTTTCAACACGGTTTCGGTGTTTTGGCCATAGGCTATAATGGGGAATGACTAAAATACCTATAACATTGTCCTTCCTTGCCTGATTCTGATGAAAATTGCAGGAATGGTAGTCCCTTCTGAATGCATGAAGCCTGCCAATCTTCAAAGAGATAGGTGCAGGGGTTTCTGGGAAACTGTGCCTCAAGGTGCTGAGAGGAAAACTTGTGACGTGTGTGACTTTGTGTGTGTGTTAAGGCAGAGCAGGGTGAAAACTGCAGGCACAGTAGCCCCTGCTGAGGCCATAAAGCCTGCCGAGTTTCAAGGAGATAGGTGCTGTTTTTACATTTTTTAGGTTTAGATAGGTTTTTAACTTTAGAGCACTGGGATTGGAAGGGACCTCAGGGACAGTTGGTAGACACTGGCCAGCTACAGATGTTAGTCTGTTCCCCCTTCTTCCCCCTCCCTCTCCTTACTGTCTCTTTACCTGTAAGTTTAGCTTTGAAACACCTTTGAAATGCCAAAACATCTTTGAAACGTTTCGACTTGTTTCGTTTCATTTTGAATGTTTCGACATTTCTCCCATTTTATTGCCATTGGATAATAGCATTGTTGAAATGCTCAAACCACCACCGAAATGAAATGGCGGTCAAAATTTTGCACAGCCCTAATGGCTAGCCATATTAGTCTGAAGTCAGACAGAACGCAGGGCAGGGTAACACATTAGAGTCTAACTGTTTCAGAGGTTCATGAGCTTCCATAGGCAACAGCCTATGCTGTCATATTTTATATATGGGTCCATTTATAATATCAGATGAACTAGGTTGTTCATGACTCTGTGAAACAGTTAGTCACTCCATGCCACTCTGCCCTACCCTCTGCCTAACATTTATCAGTTTGCTTGTATTTTTCTAAATGGAAACTGCAAAAATGTGAAGAGAAATAAGATTTCTAAAATATTAGCTTTACTATTCCAAAGTATAACCAGTAATCCAGGTACAACTTTTATTAAAATATCTCAGAATGAGGCACCTGCCACTGCCCCCACATGAATATTTCTAAATTAGATATACGAATGTCTAAGTAACATGAAAATATTATGTTCTCAGCACCCATTCAGCAGTTCACTGCCAAGATACACACACAGATGTGCATGTTCAGAACAGAATCTTGCATTTAAAAACCTGACCCAGAATTTTAAGCCTGAACGTATCCCTTAAAGAAATGATTAGCTCCTAGGCTACAAAAGAACACCCTTCAGTATATATTTAATTTTATTATTAAAACAAAAATCTTTAAAACCATTCAACAAAATATCATAAAAATTGCCATTGGATAATAGCATTGTAACAGTGAAACTATGCATTGCTGCTCTAGTAAAATGGCTTTACTTATCATGATTTATATTTTTTGCCCATATTTCCTTAAGATCCTTCCACAATGAAGAAATATTGTCATACTGCTTCCCCCAGGTCATAATTCACATGCTGACATATGTCACAATTCAGTGGTATCATTATTCTGTTTCTGTTATGATACCAAGGGGATCACATCTGGCATTATTCATGTTTACTCACAATACTGTAGTGCTTTCAAAGTAACAGGAAAACTAACATCAACATGGACAGACACATTACATTTTTTTTTTTTTGCATCTTCAATAATAGCAATCCTATTTTTAACAGATTTTTGCCAAAAATGCATGTTATAAATGTTTTGAAGAATTGCTGGCGTGATTATGTGGTTTAACATTTATAACTAAACAAACAAGTCAGACAAATTGATAAGATATTTACATCTTTGAGAAAATCTGTACAACTGATAGCACTGATGGATATTCTAATAGTGACTTAGAAGTCAGCATGGTAACCACTTTCCACATTCTGGCAGTATGATTTATGATGGGATGAGATCAGACTGGCACAGTATGTTTTATTTAATAAGCTGTAGTAGTATTTGCCATAAATATTGCAAGCCTCATTTATGAACCATGGAAGGGTTTGCAAGTTTACAAACTAACATTCACTGAGAACATAAAGAACAAAACCAAAAGACATTTCCATGCAGAATACAATTCTCTTACAGTTACTGGATATCTTTCATCCATTAGTCAGAGTACACATGCTGTATACACAGCTCACAAAGTGGCCTACTGTGCATCAGTGCATACCAGCTTATGGATAGGTCTTTGCTAAATAAAGCATGGGATCACATACAAACACTAAAGCGTGGTTTCCTAGAGAAGGCTATTCTGTCACAGTTTGAATTTACAACTAGAGTGATTTAATAAAGGGGCAATGGCATCAATTACCCTGTAAAGCGTACATGAAAATATAGCTGTCAGTTATGTCACTCTGCAAATCATCCTATCTCAACCATCAATAATATTAATTAGAACTGAGAGGTAGTAACCCAAGGTAAAACATCATCGTACTCTCATGGGCCCCATTCCTGCATGACCAAAATAAAAAGGAAGTATCAGAGGTGTAATAAGCAATTTTTGCTCTTTGAGCAGGAGTAGTGGTGGCAACTGCCAGTCTTGAGCCCTCTCTAAGTCAATGTTTAGGGCTGGTGCCTTGCTCGCCCACATCCACTTGTGCTACTGAGAATTATACCATTTGATTTCCATGGGAGCAGGATCAGGTCTTTGTATTTTGTAGTTACCCCACATATGCAGAAACCACAGGCATTGGTAAGAGTTACAGAACAAGGAGCTTTTGGGTCCCCCAAATAGAAGGAAAAGCAGCAGTGCCACTAACTGGCTCAAATTGATCAAAGCTCTTAGTCCACAAGTGAACCCAGTGGAGTAAAGGGGACTAGCTGACTGCTTATACATCTTGCTGAATAGGGGCCATACTCAGCAGACAGCACTTACAAAGACCAGGACAGGAATAACATATCCCAGCTAGTACAGCACAGTGATATTGGAAACACATCAAAACAAAGAAATACATTACAGCTCTTTCTTCAGCTGACATGAAGGTGAAGCACTTCTGATAGTTTAATACCCAAAAGTGGCATCGAGCCACATTCAGTATTGATGTAACTCTATAGAAGTCAGTGGAGTTACCCCAGAAATTAATTTGGCTGCAGTGACTGTGATGTATGTAAAAGAAAACTTTCATGAATCGTTTTTGTGTACTGCGCCTTTAAATTGCAAGGAGTCAGCAGGCTGCACCTACCATTTCATGAGGCATAGCTGATACAGCACATTACAGAAGAGGCATGCTGGGTTGTCACAAAACCCACTTTTTCCTATTTCATTTGGCTTTTTTTCCCTTTAGTTGAAATTAGTCAATCAGATTGACAATACATGGCTGATCGGTGTGTACAAAAAACAAACAAGCTAAGGCTTCTGTAATTTTAGGTGGAATTGCAAGAAAATTAAGAGGCAATAGGATAAATGTCCTGATTGATTTTGCTTTGGATTTACAGCATACTTTCATCAAGAGCCTCTTAGAACCTGACTAGCACAACTGGATGACTATACTATACTTGTGACATATCACCACTCTGAAAGTCACAGCACATGATTGGGACTTGCTATATTCTATATCATTTATAAGAATAAATTCATTGGTGGTGTTCAGTGTAAGGGAATAAAAAAAAGAGAGAGAGAGACTAAAGCCTCCATCTTGCAGGCATATAACTTTTCTCACTTGAACAGCAATGCAACTGCTCAGGTGAGACAAGTTAAGCAGACATGTAAGCGTATGCAGGAGGGGAAAGTTCTTGGTTGAGATGCAAGCAGAGGATCACTCTTATATCAACTAGATCTATTTCTTTATCTGTAGGTTGATATATTTTATAAAATATAGGGCTCATTCCATATATTTAGTCTATTATAAAAAGCTTCCACTTATAATATTTAAAATATAGTTTCAGTGCTGTCAATATCATTGTTATATAATATCTGATATAATAAAAATACACATTTTCTGTAGGGGAGCAATCATGGACTGTGTTGGGTGGCCCTCCTTTGTGTGTGGCTCAAGTAACTGAAGAGGTTGGTTGTTCTTGATTTCCCTTATTGGTTCTTCTACCTTTAGATGGCTGCCTGCCAGTGGCGATACGTAGGGGGTGCAAAGGGGTGCACGTGCACCCCCTGAGAGCACTGGTGCACCCCCTCTCAGTAGCATTCCCCACTTAGGCAGTGGGTGGGAGGGCAGGTGGGAGCAGGGGCACTAGGAGAAGTACTGCTGGCACTTCCCTGGCCCTTCCAGGCGTGCCGCTGGCACTTCTGAGCAGCGTTCCCTCTTAGAACCAGTTTCGAGGGAGTGCTGCTTCCAGGTCAGCACACTCAGCTGCAGGGGGCACCCCTCCCCCTGGTTGTTGGAGGGTCAGGAGGCACCAGTCGCCCATGCTGCCTGCCACAACTGCTCTGTGCAGTATCAGCCCATGTAATGCTCTCTGCAACCCAGGCTGTACAACACCCCTAGGCTCTCAAATCGTATTGTTTTGGCCTGCTCATCTATTGGGCAAAATCCATCTTTGGCTGACGATAAAACCAATGATGTCTTTTGGTACTGACAATGTATGGGGTCGGGGGCGAGTCTTACAAAACAAATCTGTCACTGCCCCAACCCTTGTCCCCAGGAACTTACAGTGTAGAAGTGGAAGTTACACAAGGGATGCAGTTAGCTCATCCTACCTGGGGCTTAACCCCAGCTCAGACCCTGATCCTGTAACTGGCTTAGAAAAGACTGTCCCCTGTTTAAATCAGCAGGACACAGTGTGGTTGCTGGGGTCTGTCTGTGGAAACAGTTATATGATCTGGATTTTATTTTGCACTGCTGAGTAAAATCAAGAGGTCAAATAAATCCATACAGAGGAAAATACTTTGCTTTTAAATCCAATCTAAAAGTGCAAATGTTTAAATGATGTACTAATGAAGCATATTCCAAACAGTATATAAAGGACTATGGCTTATGGCAGTGGTCCCAATGGGAAATACATACTACATACTAGAAAGCCACTTCATTGGTGGCAATACTGCAGCGGATAATTGGTAGAAGTTGTTCAGTTGCAGTTATTCAAAATTTATCTTATGCTATAGGAATCTAATACTACTCAGTGAGATTCAATCTGCAGAAGAGACTGTATATGGAAAAGTGCATTATCCTATCTAAAATCTATTGGCTTGAATCTCCTCTGGTTGGTCCACATTAGGAATGACTCCACCAAGTTCAGTGGAGTAGTAGTGCCAGTGAATGAGAGGGGAAGATCAGGAACATTAGAGTAAACTGATTTTATGAACTGGACCCTCCATTTAACAAAGGGCATTTGGTGTTAGTTTTCACAGCCTCACAAATCTGTTATGGTAGATTAGTTTTCTGTTAAAACCAATAAGGAAGTTATTTGAACAACATTTTGGACTCTAACAGTATGGAGTGAGCTTCCACTTGCAATAGATGGTGGAGCAAGGTATTGACATTGTATTATCATATGTAATCAAGCTTGCTCTATTTAAAGCAGCAGAATTTGTGACTAGCAAACAGAATGTTGTATATTATTCATTAAAGTTCAAGCAGGAGGTCTCTCTCAAATTTTATTAAAATATTAGCATGCTTCCAAGATGAAATAAGTTCCACTCCAATGTCTCTTGGGAAGGAGAGATGGAGCTGGTTGCATTCTGAGATACAGCTTGGTGGGGATGTCTTACAAAACCATTGCGCGTTCAACATGGTCGAGTTGTAAAAAGCTTTTGCCCAGAAAGGAGGTTTTCATTACGTACAAAGTCTCTGATTCCTGCACCATTCTCCAGATGCTGTTACATGACGTTCTCAAAGAGCTGTAAGGACCGCATGATATTGTCATCCTGGAAGCAACAAGAAAACAATAAAACAACCAAAGTCTTTAGACCTTCTATGGCAGACAAAGCACTTCACAGCACAATTCATCTTTGGCACCTGTTTCTACAGTATGTATCAGTTCCTTTTTTATAGCACCTTTCTTCATGGATGAGTCCACACTACTTCAGAAGCTCTTGTCCTATTTCAAAAAGCATTTCTAATTTAACAAAGCATTTGGGTGTGTTAGCTTGAACCACATGTTTGAAATTAAGTAGGTGTTTAAATGCTTTGCTTTAGATCATGAATAATTCCAGCACTTGCATTTCCACACAGGAGGAGTCTTGATGTCAGAAGCCTTAAACTGCCAGGTCCAGAGCTCCCTTAACTTACCTCTAAAATTAAGCTGCTTCTGGGTTCAAAAATGTTAATCTTCTACCCTTGGATTCCTACTCCCTGGGTGTGTCTACACATGATGCTTTAATGTGCCTTAGCCTAAGCTAATGTGCATTAAGGGTGCATGTCTACTCATGCACGCCCTTAATGCACATTGAAAATGGTGAATTTAAGGTATCAATTTAAACTTGATATCTACAAATGTAGGTATCAAATTTAGGCATGAATAATTAAAGCACATTAACGAACATGTAGATGTGTTAAATCGCATTAGCACTTTAGTCCCAAGTCAGTCCACATACACAGTGTTAATGTACTTTAATGCCTGTACTTGTAGACACCTGCGTACGCCCACTTAATGCTCATTCAGTGTAGGCATGCTTAAATACACATGTAGACATGACCCCTGAATCCAAATAAGAAAGCTGAGAATTACATATTGAGAAAATCTGATTAGCAAAGTTTCTTATGAGGCTAGTTGCATCTGCAGTTTTACTTTGTAACAACATCCAAGGTGATCTGATAGGCTGTTACATTATTACAGTGCCAATTTAGCATTTTTTTCTTTGTGCGCTAGATGTACCCAAAGCTGGATAAAGCAACAGAACTCTGGACTTCTGCCCATTTCTTTCTTTATGCCCATGTCTCTGCTCTGATTTGTAAAATGCTTGGAACTAATTAGGGGGAAGGTGTGGGGTGAAGAAGGGTTGGAGTATTATGGAGTCTATGGGGCAAAATGGGTATAGGGGAGTGGGAGCAAGAAGGGTGGTTGAGGAGGACCCACGTGGTAGGAGATGCTGCAGTGAGATAGGAATTCTCAGAGAGGCAAGGGAGGGTTTTGATTATAAATTGAAAAATATAGCCGGAGGCCACTAGCATATTTGTAAGGCGTCTAGTTTCTTTTTAAATTGGAGGAAAATTTGTTGTAGTAAGGGATGATGCAGCAAACCACCCACCCTGTTCAAAATCCTAGGTGTGCCCGCGCTATCTTCACGTTGCATGTCTTTCATTTTGTTTTTGTTAAAGTCTTCTTTTTTAAAAATTAAAACAAAAAACAACCCCCCCAAGAAAAAACATGTTCTGAATACTAATAAGGCACCTATTGCAAATGATGCTAAGTTTAATTAAATAATATGGTGCACCGCATGAAGAAAAGAATAGTGAGGAACCTTAGATTTTCAGATTAGTTATCAAACACATCTAGAATAAGGACATACATAAACACTCCAGGCAAGCCAGCACCATCAATGAGTTATTCTTAAAAGTACCCAAAAATAAATAAATCACCCAGCAAGCAGCAACAGATATAATACGTGTGCACACACACCTGCAGGCAAACCAATTAAGAAACATGCACACACAAAGCAAAGAAACAGAAGAGGTTAAGAATAAAACATCTGCAAGAAAGAACTTCACATGAGGCATCTTATATTGGAGGATGAAGTTTCACATCCCTGAAGACCTCACCAAAGAAAGTTCTCCATATAACAAGGTCCTGACTGAACTAAGAATAAAGAAAAAGGCCCATCCCACTCCTTAAAAGTGTTTGCAGGATTCATAGCAATCGTTCAGATACTGAAAGCTTCACTCATTAGAGCATGGGAATGAATTTCTTGGGAAAGCTTGAAACAAAGAGCTCAGAATGCCCAATGAGTGATAATTACCACTATCTTAAACTGTCTGAAATGAGCAGGCTGTTACTGCATTGATTAACCACTGGAAACATCCCTGACCAGATAGTCACACAGTTAATTGGAAGCCACAAAAACAGATGTCAGGCTGATTGTTCGTGCAGATGCTTAGTTTTGTGTAGGTGCTAAAAATAACAATAAACAATTATTGCAGCCAATTTAATTTATGGAATTTGCAAAAGGCACTCATTTTGGAAAAATCATTACTTTGATTGCAGTGCTTGTTTTTAATGTTTGACCTCACACATCAACAGTTTTATGTGTCGGTGTTGTAATTACAGGGTACCTAGACAGATTTTATGCCTCTGGACAGCTCAGTCACTGTGAGTAACTATTAATGCTATATGGAGAAAAGCAATTAGAGAGACATTGTCAACCACTTAAAAATAGAAAAACACTGAGGTAGGTGAAAGGTTTTGTGAGCTTCCTTTATAGTTATGTACTACGTCAAAGAATTGTCCATTATATTTCACTTGGGAAAATAATAGCACGGGCCATCAGCATTGAAAATGAACAGACTGTATTCAGTGATCAGTGCAAAACCAAATTCATGTTCTCTGGTGTTTAGGGGAATTCACAAGTCAAGACCCATATGTATCAGGACCCATGCTTCGGGGGTGGCAGTCATACCCCCTGATGGTGACTCAGCTTATGCTCTGCTCCAAGGTACCCTTCTTTTGCTCTCACCTGCCACACCTTCGTCTTGTTAACAAGTTTAGAAAGGGAGGCTGCCCAGGTTCTTAGTGAAAGCCTTTAGCCTGTCCTCATACCCACAGATCCCTCTTGGACCCCACTGCTCCCAATAGGACTTTGGTCTAATCATGGCTCCAACCTCCCCTGTGCCTATGCCTCTGAGGAGTGACAATCAAACAATTTGGTGGGCCCTCGGCCTCAGTCTTGCATACAGACTTCTCTGACTTTTCAGTCCTCTGTCAATCTCTGCCTCTCCTGGGCTCGACTTTCTTTAGCTTTGTCTCTACCCCTTTTGGGGCAGTGGGCTCTCACTAGCCCTATCACTGCCCCTCAAAGGCAGGGGGCCCCTGGACCTTGTCTCTGCCCCTCCTAAGCTGCTGTACTACCACCTGCCTTGCTCCCGCAGTAGACTCAAGCCTTAAGTGGCTTGCTGGCATTACTGCACCTCCTGACCTTCCCTGCAGTCCCAAACCCAGTTATACAGTTAAAACCCAGACCAAAACATCAGCACACTGGCTATAACTTAATTCTCTAAGCACACTGACTCTCTTCTCGAATCCCCCTTCATACTGAATTTAATCCCCTGCCAGCCGCAGCTCCTTACTGATGTCTCTCATCAGCAGGCATCTTACTGCAGAACCCCTTTCCCTGCAGAGCCAGACTGACTGCTCAGGCTCTGATCTTGCTTTACAAGCCTCCAGAGCCCTGCTGTCTTCCAGCCCTGCCTGCTTCCAGCGATTCCCTGGGCTGTCTGCAGGCACTCTCTAACAAGCTTTGCTTACTGGCCTTCAGAGTAGCCTAGCAGCAGACCTAGCAGCAGTCTTGCCCTGTCTCCCACACAAGACTGGGTTTTATACCACTGCCACAAATCTGCTAGTACTGCAGTATATTTCTTACTGTTTTCTCAGGTTAATCTACTATTGTACTATTGCTGTGTCTCTCTAACAGGAGGCATAACAGTCTCTGTTACACCAGGAGTGAATTTGGCAGCTGGTTTTTACATGCAATAGAATGAAAGTTAGGACCCTGAGCCCCCTAAAACTTAGAAAGGACTGCCTTCTAAAGTGAATATGACCATTGTGGCACAAGCTCATCGTCTCTGCTTTCACGGCAATGAGAAGGTTACTCTTACCTCCTGACATGATTCAATGAACTCATCTAAAGTTACAACGCCATCTTTGTTTTTATCCATTTTCTGCAAAATAAAAAACACAAAACTATATTTATTTTTTCTAAAACTGATGTCTCTTCAAAAAAGTATCACAATACTGTTCAGTGCTGCTTGCCTAACAGTATCTTGCAAACAGGCAGAGCTTGTACTCCAGCCAGAGTTTGGAATGAGATCCATTGTTCAGGCTTTGCCAGTAGCTAAGCATCAAAAGGAATGTGTTAGAAATCAGCTAAGTACCTGGAAGAAAACTTCTACATGCTGTCTTGGAGCATCTTCCTTGAGCACTGGATATGTGTACTTCCCCATCATATCATAAATTGCCTTTACTATATCCATCATTTCCTGGAGTGGTAACAAGAAAAAATAAAACAGAAACTAATAAATACAAGTACAACATTTTATTTTACTGAATTAGGTCCAGTTCTGCATTCTTTTCCTAATGTAAAGGAAAGCCATATTGCTGCGTGTCACTTGGCATTTCTAGTACCACTTCCAGATACCAATATTGCTCAAATGTCATTGTCTATACAGTATGCTGCAAAATCTAGTGAATCTTACTCTGTCATCTGTTGTCAATCATCTACAAAAGCTCCTGTGCAGTTGTTGCCATTACTTCATTTCTTTGCCTTTAGTTATTGCTGCGCAGGATTGTAGCAGATCCATCATTGGTACCCACAGCTGACTGACCCAGTCGGTGGAATTGTTGAAGCTAAAATGAATGTGTTCTTAGTTCTCAGTGCTCTTACAATGATAAAGGATGATTTCCCACAATTTCCATGGTTGATTCTCTTCCCCAAGGGAAGCAGATCTTTTTCCAGTCACTAGGAAGGATTACCTAGTCAAGTAGACTGATACAAGTCAGCCTTAGGATAAACTTACCCTGTCTTTCACAAAGGTGTCTCTATTATTAGTATCGATACCACTTTTTAGTAATAAGCATATTGTAGCACTCCAGACACACACAGTCTTACATTCTTATAGATTTTTATAGTGTCAAGAAGATCTTACAGTTGATCACAGCCAAAACAGAGCAAGGTGCACAGAGTTCTTTGCTCAGCGTATAACCGAAAGTAAGAGTGCATCAACATGTGACACTACATTGCTGTAGCAACGCACTAGATCGATGTAGCATCTGCAGGCAAAAACTGTGATGCCACAGCTACATTGCATCCCTCAGTATAACATGTCGCTATGGTGACACAGAGGCTAAAAATAACCGTGCACAGTGTGCATGGCGCAGTACGAAAGGAAAGTACTAAATGACGGCGTAGTAACAACGGTGCTGTAGGGGCCTATGGAGATGCATGGACATGTGAGGCTTAAGTGTGAAATATGCATTTCACAGTCCAGTGCATTTATACCCAGATGTAAGGAGAGCACAAGTAACTAGAGACACAAATGGAAGCGCAGAGTTAAACTAGGGCAGTATATAAACTGTATCTTGGTAGTCAGAAATGGGAAAACCTCGGGGGAAGCAACGGTCTGCTCCAGGGAGCTGAAGAAATGGCTAGTCATGAAGCCCAAAATGGGTGCTTGGTTTTGCTTTTTTTCAGATGGTTCTTACATTTTTTCTTTATATTACAACCCGTGTGTGCCAAGTCTGACAATAATGTATGCAGAGGAAGTTCTTTTGGTCTGAGGAAGGTTATTTGGGGCTTATTTTGTTGTCTATGAAGTACAAACTGTCTGTAGGAAAGATGTGATTACAGGGAAAGTTCTAGCTGCTTAGAAGAAACAATCAGGATGAAACACAACATAGTCTTGCTGAACTAGAAAGCTGGGGTGTTATTGGGGAAATTAACTGAAAAGGGGGAAGGGCTGGTCAGTAACTGAACTATAAATGATCCTAAATCAACTAAACACTCAGAAAGAAGCAAAATGGACAGTTGGAAGGATTCCTGTTTCTAACCCTTATCAATCATTTTAACACATGTTTGGAGCCCCTGTCACAGGAGCATTCATGCTAGCAGTGACAGTGTTGGAAAACTATTAAAACATCCTATCCTCAATTTTGCACATATATGGCTGTCACCGTAAACTGCATGCATGGGCTGGAGGGAAGAATTCAGCATGGCTATTAAAGTCACATTTCCAAGAAAATATTTTACTGCATAGCTAATCAATCACCAAACTAGTCAAGGCTGTCAGAAGAGGAAGCACTGTCATCTAATAAAAAGGACAGTGGGCAAACACAGACTCATTCAAAACATCAGAGGCTTCTGAAAATATCTTGGTCATTCTAGGCATGCTTACATACTCAACACATGCATTAGCATAATCATTCCCATATTAATTATACTACCCCTACAATTATCTTCATGTATCCATAGTTTCTTTTACGGAGGTAGGATTTGTTTCTAGTAAAACGGTTTCTTCAAGGGCAACATACCTCAGGAAAAAATACAAGCTCTAAAATTATGCAAAACAAAACCATTGTGCACTTTGCCTTACATACCAATAAACAGTCAAGCCCAGTGCTGATTTGCATTTAATTAACTGCATGAAAAATGAATTACGCTTTGTAATATCAGCCACTCAGTTCTTTCAGAAAAGAAACAGCTGTTCCTTCCATAAAGAGCCTTACCTCCTTGTTTATATATCCATCTTTATTTATGTCATACAGATTAAATGTCCACCTTAGCTTTTCATGAACTGTTCCTCGCAACAAAATTGATAGCGCCGTCACAAAATCCTGGTTCATGGCAAAAGAAATTAGCAAATTTTAATAAAGAATCTTTTCCAAACCTTTTTCTTAATAATACTATTCTTTTCTTTTCCACATGAAGGATACTGTTAATTAGAACAAAAATATTTAGACCCTTTTTCTTCCAAATGTTTGACTTTCATGACTGTCAACCTGGGTGAACTTGGCAGATAAAACTTAGCCGTGCGCAGCACCTAAATGACATGCTACAATAGTTGTAATGTAGGAATTCTGAATACCAGAGAAATCCTCATTTATTTAAACCGAGGTCCACAGTTCACCCATGTTGGTGATTTAGATTGTATGCAAGCACAGGGCTGCAGGGGAAACCACGACTAAGCAGGTGCTGCATATCTGTTTCTCCAACTAGAGGACAGGGCATTTGTGAAGCCTCTGCACTGGATTTTGCTATTGACTGATGATTATTCTTCAGTCAGCCCAAGTGTCCTGGTATAGGGCTCAGGGCAGGAAGAAGAAAGGGGCTGCCTATAATAAATCTTCAAACAGGTTTAACACTGGCAATTAATCCAGCACAGATTACACAGAACCTTTACCCTTTAACCTTTACCCTATATGAGCAGTTACTGTTTCCATGCATTCATTATCCATATAACCGGTTCACTAGTCAACAAAATGTATTTGTTTACTTGTTTTTTAAATTTTGACCATTTTACAGACTCATGGCTTAAACCTGAGATAGTCTGTGGGAACCTGGGAATTAACCAAGAAACCTGACTGGGTCAGGGAGGTGAACGTGGTTGTTGCTATCATGCTTTAAATGGAGGAATAGGGGGGATATCATCTGACTTTTGACAAGTCTTGGAAGGCTTGGTCTGTATCCAACTATACACAACTGAGGCCTATTGGGTAGTGTCAGGTAACAAAATGTAGTCAGCAACCATTCAAATTTGTCATGTTCCAACCTCTGCAATGCAAAGGTGTGTGTTATCTCAGGTGGGACAAGCAATGTCATAATACAAACACAGTCCTTTCATAATAGATCAGGATGGTGCTCTGCTGTCCACCAGCAATGGCTGGGCCACCAACCAGTTGATGAGCCTGCTATAGCCTGGGCTGAACACAGCTGGGTTTTCTGTTTTGCTTTGCTTTGTTTTGTTTTTTAGCTCAGGCAATAGACCTCATGCCTGAAGATCTAGAGGCCTCCAAGTAGATCATCATTAGTGGGATCAAATCTGGATCTCCAGGACTAAGTGCTCATGCTTCAACTACTGATCTAAAAAGCCATCTCTATTCAGGTAGGATTTAAATGCAACTCTGTTGGCAAAATGAACCCAATAATCCTTTATTAAAAATGAATAAGATTAAATACTTGATTGGTTGTAATTTTAGATGAACATTTAGCCCCACAAGTACCAAGAGACTAGACTCTAGAATGAAGGCAGATTAAGAGAGAGACGAACAAAAGATGATGTAAGTTAATTACCTCAAACTTCACTGATCCATTCTGTGCAGTATCAAATGCATTAAAGAGATAATGGGCATACATACTAGCATCTGAAAAATGCAAAGAAGGTACAGATTATCTTCATGCTTATTATTATCACACACATATTCTAATGCTTATAAGAAATTTTCATAGTTTGATTTTGCTTAGAGGGGAAAAAAGGCTCTGCAACTTCAGAAATTCTTTCCATAGCCTGGTATAAATGAATGAAGAAGACTAAATAAGTACTTAGAAAGGCCTTGAAATAAAAAAAAGTGTATAAAGGCAGCAGTGATCTAAAGTAGTGGAGTGAGCTGTAGGTTTAGAAAATAAGTAAAGACGAATCAATGGCTCTGGAGCAAATTGAAAATAAAATACATAAAGAAATTAAGACATGAAAGCAACAGAAAAATGATGTCTTCCCATATGTTTCCTTTATCCATCTTTCCAATTCAGTAGAGGATTTTAGGATTGCAAAACTTTAGAAGGCTGGCTGTTTGGTGGCAGTATCTTAGCTTTGGTATTTGGTTTGAGGGGACTTATGAAAACATGGATATCCTTGGGCTGATATCTCGAGCTCAGAAACTTCATATATTCAAACTACCCCTAGGTTCTTTGTAAAGGCTTTGTTTGGCTGTTTGCCAAACCAGTCAACCCAAACTATTAATGGAGTGCACTGAAAAAACAGTACAGTCAAGTGTAAGAACATCCAGACTCCAACCTTGTCCTATTTACTGAGTCCTTCAACACCAGTCACTTGGGGTTTTTTTAAAAAGTAATTAAGGCTAAAAAACTGAGCAGATTTTACTAAGAAGTCCTGAAGGACTGCAGTAGAACCAGAGCTCCAGGTATAAGGAATAGTGAGATGGATATGATCTAATTTTCTTCCATACCAATATGAGAGTATTACAGAAGCACCAAGTGTATTTGTATCATAGACTCATCTGGCAGAGGTAAAATACTTTAAAATCCTCTTTAAATTTTAAACTACTAAAGGCAGTTTTAGACATCTTTATGAAAGTAAGAATGGATTCTGGGGCCAGGGAAAGGGCAACCTACAATCCAGAAAAATGTAACAATATGTGAAAAAAAATCAAAGAAATGTATCACATTAAGACCTTCATTTGCATGCATTCTGCTTTGGAGGGGATTCATTTATTCATTGCTTCTGCAAATGTGGAATATATTGGGATTAAAATAACCTAATCATTTCACTGCTTTTGTAGAGGACTTGTGCATGAGAATCAGCTTGGTCTCTTCTGATCCCTGCCTACAACCCAGTATAGCATCCTGAGGACTGAAACACTTTAAGATAACTGTAGTGGGTTCAGGGTTATTTCTGGGGGTCTACTCAACTCAAGGAGGTGCCCAGCCAATTTTGGGCAGATCCCAGGGCCAGCTGCCATTTTCGTGGGCTGGGCGTGGTGGCTCCCCACAATTCCTCTGACTGGCCAAGGGGCCCCAGCAGTCCTGCCTCTCCCCACAGATTGCCATATGGTCTGAAACTGTGGATTAATTACCCTGATTAAGCCCAAAGAAGCCATTAATCCATGCATTATTAACCATGGATTAATGGCTTCATGGGCTTAACAGGGTAATAAAGATGTGGTTTCAGGCCATCCCTGAAGGCATGTAATAAAATGCAGCTGTATCAAGGTCTGCAGAGCCCCAGCATGGCTTGTTGCTGGCAACAGGTGCACGTGAGGATCATGCTGGCCCAGGATCACAGTACAGCTGCTTGTGTAGCCTCCTTGCCCCTGCCTCACTCCCCACCTCCTGGAGGGCTTTGAGCTGTTCTTCCTTCAAGGTGGACAGCTGTCTCTTTAGGTCTTTTAGGTTGGGCTTCTCTGCCACCTCAGAGGCAAATCATGGTCACTTCCTCCTAGAGTGTCACAGCCTTTATTCCCGCTCATGCCTCTTTTCCAACTTTGCCACAATTATCTGTTCCATCTGCATCTTTTTCTCTGCATCTACAGCCAACAGGTATCTTAACTCCTTGTTCTTACTTTCTTTGCTTCCTACCATCAACTGGCACCTCAAGGCAGCTACTTTGGTTTCAGATTGCTTATATTCTTGGTGTTCAACTCCCACTGCAGACATTTTGCCTCCTTGGCCTTCTTGCCAGAGACTAGATGTGCCTTAAGCAGTTTGCCTTGTACTGCTCCTAGGACTTTGAGGGTCAGCATAACAGGTCTGTGCAAAGCAGAAAGTATTTGCTTTGGATTCGGCGATTTGGAGGGACAGCAATTCGATTCAGTGATTCGAATCATTTTTCCCATTCGATTCAGCTGAATCTGAAGATATTTGGCACTGAATCTTATTCGGCCATAGACTATACAGCCAAGCAGTGCTGGCGGGAGCAGCTGGGGGAGCGGCTGGAAAAGCCCTGGCTTGAGCTGGTAGCCCCAGAAGAAGCCGCAGCTCGTCCAGCTGCTCCCCCTGCTGCCCCCCACTGGGGCGAGGCAGGCAGTGCTGGCAGCCCTGGGAGAAGCTGCAGGGGCTGGGGGGAATGATTGGGGAACTGGGAGACTGAACTGGGAACTGAACCAGGAACTGGACATCAAACCGGGAGCTGGGGGAAAGACCCTGTTTGTTCCCCAAGCCCCTGATCATTCCCCTCAGCTCCCCAATCATTCCCCCCAGCCCTGAGGCGTCTCCCAGGGCTGTGAGCTCAAGGTGCGGCTTGTCTGGCTGCTCCCCCAGCTACCCCCGCCGCCGGGGCAAGGCAGGCAGTGTTGGCAGCCCTGGGAGAAGCTGCAGAGGCTGGGGGGAATGATCAGAGAGCTCGGGATTGAACCGGGAGCTGGGGGGAAGCCCCTGTTCATTCCCCTAGCTCTTGATCATTCCCTCCAGCTCCCGGTTCGATTCCCTAGTTGCATCCCCCAGCTTCCAATCATTCCCCACAGTTCCCCGTCATTCCTCCCAGCCCCATGGCTTGTCCCAGGGCTGCCAGCACTGCCTGCCTCACACCAGCAGGCCGTGGGGGTAACTGCGGGAGCAGCCAGACAAACCATGGCTTGAGCTGGCAGCCCCGGGAGAAGCCCCAGGGGTTGGGGGGAATGATTGGGAGCTGAGGAATCGAGCTGGGGTGAAGCTCCAGTTCATTTCCCCAGCCCCCAATCATTCCCCCCAGCTTCCGGTTTAATTCCTCAGCTCCCGGTTTGATTCTCCAACTCCCAATTGCTCCCCCAGCTCCCTGATCATTCCCCCCAGCTCCCAGATCATCCCCCCCAGCCTCTGTGGGCTCTCCCAGGGCTGCCAGCACTGCCTGCCTCGCCCAGGCAGTGGGGCAGCTGGAGGAGTAGCTGAACGAGCCATGGCTTCTCCTGGGGCTGCTGGCTCAAGCTGGTCCGGCTGCTCCCCAGATGCTGCTGCCAGCACTGCCTAATGCCTGCCTGTACAAACTCTGGCTGAATCTCTTTCAATTTTTTTGGAGGCTTCTGATTTGATTCAGAGAAATTAATGGGTCTCCTGATTTGATTTGGAGATTTGACCGCTGAATCAGGCCAAATCTCCTCCGAATTGAATTGGCTACCAAAGCTTTGTATAGACCTACATACAGCACAACTCTCTGCAATCCGCTTCATGCACCTTAGCTCCCAACGTAGGACAGAGCACAATCTTGGTCTGCTAAGAGGGGTCAAGCCTCCATGCTGGCACTCACTTTAACTGCTGGCAGTTCATCTTAACTGCTGCACTGCACTTTACATGCTCCTGTATGCTTTCAAGTGCTAGAATCTGTTTAAAGTGCCACTGCTGGCCCCCTTAAACTGTCTGTCTGTATTCCCCACCCACCCCGAGCAGCAACCCTGAGACCAGGAGAGGGAACTTACATGAGAGAGAAGGAAGACTGCACTGTGGTGCTGAAGAAGCAGCACAAAGGCACAGGCACCTTCTTAGGTTCTGGGAAGAGACTCTGGGACTGTGCGTTGCCCTTTGTGTACTGTGTTTATGGACTATTTGTATGAAGTGAGAACCCTGAACCTGCTACACTAAGATCTTTGCCTTAATATATGAGCATTTAGGCAAAACTTAATGCCTTGTGATATACAGGAGGTCAGATTACAGGACTCTATGGTTCCTTCTTGGCTTGAACATTATGCAACTATGAAAAATATGTTACACTGCTAAAGGGGCACTCCATATTACTTGCATGGGTAAAACAGTCTGGAGTCCAAGAAATAACTAGATTACTGCATCTTCAAGTTAAGACTGCAGAAATAAGCTACTGTTATAGGAAGAAAATAAAAGTAATGCACCCTTGGAAAAAGGCCTTGTTATACCATGTGAAGCAAAAAGGTTTTGTTTCTGTGTCATATAAAATATATCAAGAAATACTGAACCTCCAGTAAGACTTGATAGATGGTAGAACAGCAGAGCTGATGACTTGTAAAGGATAAAAGCTTTTAGTAATATGCATTGAATGGCCTGGGATAATAAAATTGCACAAATGAAAAATTGTAATTCATGGACATTTTATTACATCCAGTATGTATAATTTCATGTGTAAAGAGAGTCATAAATTGAGAAAAATATGAGAAATCTAAAATAGCATGCTTTATGGGATTGTGGGATTTTACAAACATTTTGGAAAGCAAGTGAGAAAAAAATAGGTACAATATCAAAACACAAGTTTAATCCCACTGCTAAATCATGGTTTATTACAAAGATATCATTCTTAGCCCAGGTATCTCTGACAGAGAACCACTGTCAAGGGAATGGATCACTGAATAGGACAGAAGGCCTTCAACATGTTTCAAAGAGCCATCTACAAGACATCATTATGATAAACTTGTAATGTAACTGAATACGTGGATGAGCTCTTCAGTGACTATCATCAACCTACCATGTAACTATACAATGATATATCACTACTAAATTCAAGTAGTTTGTAACTCTGAAAACCTAATGAATATATAGACATTATACCCATATATCTTAACCTACATAATACATATATAGACCTAATTTTGTGTCTTCACATTAAAACCTTCTCAAAACCTTACGCTTGTATACACATTCTGTATAAGGTATGGAATTTCAAATTTGGCTTTCAAACTTGAAAGAATATTTGCATCAAAACATACCAAGCTGGAATGTAGGAGTAGAAACCTGAGATTCCTGAAAAGGCTAAGGAAGCACTACATTACATTTGTTGTTAAAAGGGTAATACATATTCTTGTCATATCTATGATATATAGTGAAGCTGTCTTATATAGTTTTCTGAAAAACAGGAAAATGGTTACTCCACCTAGATTGGTCAAACTTCACTGCACTATGGACTTTGGGAAGGCTGTAACACCGGTCTCTAATATTATTTGTATTACACCACCGCGTAGGCCCAAACCAGGATTGGGACCCAGCATGCTACACAGTATACAAACAATAGTAAGAGACCAGAGGCATAACAGGACAGTTTTGCTTCAGTTGCTTCACCATCAGTTACAGTACTGTATGAGACAGTCCATGGTCAAAAAGAGTTCAAATTTTGCACAGAAAAAAGAGAAACAAAAGTGGGAGGGGAAATAGAGGCACAAAGAGTGTGAGAGGTGCTCAAGCCAACCCAGAAGGTCAGTAATATAGCAGGGAGGCCCCTCTTTTCCAGTACAATGCTTTACCCATTGTACTACACTTCATTTAAAGGAAGGGAATTGATCATTGCTGGTGAACTTTAATCCAGATCAATTTATATTCCTATGCAATGACTATTTGGGAAGGAGGGGTATATATATTTTCTCCCTTTTAATAGTTTTTTCCCTCAATAATCCTGTAAAATTGAAAAATCAATTTGTGCATATAGCAGGCACTATCTGAAGTAGTTTTGCAAGCAGCTGGCAAGAGTGAATTTTAAGATATGCTTCAATAAGTCTGACAGATGCAACATATTCTACTCACCTCCGTGTGGAAAAAACTGTGCATAGATCTGTTTGAATGTCTCTTCATTAACAACCCCACTAGGACATTCCTGTTGGAAAACCAAAAATCCCTGTTAAGGTTCATTTGTAAAACATTACATGCCCAAAGAGAGCAATTATACAATTTAATTCCTGTTCCTGCAGCATGCTGTATGTACACGTTTTGCAGCTGAAGAAATAAAAAGATTAAGACTAGAATTCTCTAGTACTTCATAGATCTGGCTCACTATTTTTTCCCAAATGTAACACAGTTTAGTCACTATTTTGCATATGGAAAGATGACGTGTATTTTGTTACTGAAGGCCTTTATTTAATAATTACAAATCATTGTAATATTAAGTAATACTTCACAATACCTCAAAACTTCAGTGTTCTACAGATACATTGATACATTAGTCACTGATGAAACATTGTGGATTGCAAAGTGATGTCAGGCATTCAGCAGATGGACAACAAGTATTTATCAGATACTTTTAAACAGCATGCATGTCTGGTCTGAGGAGGTTGAGTAAAAAAAATGTTGAGACACGAAAAAGTCTCCAGTTTTTGGTGTGATGTAATTACAAATTATTTCTTGTGTTTTTGTTTCAGTAGACAAACCGTGCCATTGGTTATTCATTTGGTCCTACTGACAATCGCTCAGTGGAAAGACTCCGGTGGAAAGACACTGAGCGATTGTCAGTAGGACCAAATGAATAACCAATGGCACAGTTTGTCTACTGAAACAAAAACACAAGAAATAATTTGTAATTACATCACACCAAAAACTGGAGACTTTTTCATGTCTCAACGTGTTTTACCTAAACAAATAATGGAAGTGAATGAGGATGCTAGTGAACTTCCTGCCCATGTCTGTTTACAGGCTGTCCTGTGACTAGGGCACTCACCCAAGTTCTGGGAGACATGGGTTCAGTTTTCTCTTCTGCCTGAGGGAACTTTAATCCATATCTTTTACTTACTACAAAAGTGCCTCAAACACTAAACCAGAGTACTCTGTGTTGGGCGGTGCTCTCAGGGTCTGTATAAATACAAACATTCTTATCAAATCCTTGTATGAACACTGTCATTCAAAATGAAAATATTCTAACTCAGTTTGGCTTGATTTACTTTGGAAGTGAATTGAAATAAATAAATTTAAAGTTACTTTAATTCTGTAGGAGAGTGTCTACATAGGGGTTTAATGCAGTTTAATTAATCCACTTTAAATGTACACTTCAGATAACTGGATTTATTTTTCTGTGTCTCTGTGGAGACAAGCCCATAGCTTCTTCTGTTGACCTCATTCCACTTTGCATAAATACTTAAATATCCATTGAAGCAAGGGCTGGTTCTTGGGTATCCTGCCTCCCCGGTTACCTTGATTACCAGGGCAGACTCATTCTTCGTGTCTGGTTCAAAGAGGAGCAACTTTAATTGGAGAGACTAAGGGCGCTTACACAAGTTACATTTTTTGTGCAATCTGGCTCCTGAAAGTGCTTTACAGGCATGACATAACATATGTTCATGGCTCAGAGTGCTTTTAAAATGGCTGATCAAGTGAAAAATGTACCCTCAAATCAGCTATTAGCTGAATGTGCTCTAAAGCAGAGCACCTTAGGGAATTTCTGTCCAGGGTCCCATCAAGGCTTAAGTGGGGTGATTCTGCCTGTATCCCATGCATTGGGGAGCCCTAGCTCAGCACCACCCCACCCCACCACCAGGGCTGTCCCAGACAAGGGAAAGCTGGCCTGGGCCAATGAGGCAAGGGAGCTCTGTTCCCCACCTCCTCTGCCCCCAGCTCTTGCCACAGCAAAGCCCATCTGGCAGCTGCTTGCTGCAACTGTCAAGAGGCTCAGGTGGGGGGAAGGAGGTCCTCCCTGCCTCTTAGGGCTTGAGGGGAGCTAGGCTTGGCCCATGAGGTGGGGGGCACTTGCTTCCCCCACCTCCTGCCCAAGGCTCTTGACAGGTGCAGCACACAGCTGCCAGAGGGGCTGGGGAGAGGATTGATATGGCAGGCTCCTGGAAGGCTGCTGGAGTACCCTCATCTAGTGGCTAGGGCTAGTGCAGGCCGGTTCAAGCCCTCAGGTGAACATCTGTTGGGTTCAGTGGCACTTTAACTCATGGCAGCACACCCCAACAGGTTGCCTAAATGCCTGTAGGCACTCTACAAGTTACCCACCCCAGAATGCCCTTTATAGCATACTGGTTAAGACATTCCCCTAGAAAGGGAACTGAGTGGTTTCAAGTCCTCTCATACAAAGGAAAGATTAGAACTCAGCTCTCATATCGTAGGTCAGTGCCAGAGCTACTAGGCAATGGGATCAGCATCTCTGTTGTGAATCCAGCTATATTTTTAGAAACTTTTCAGCACATTTAGGTGAAACTCATTATTAATTTCAACTAAAATACTAACTATATGCCAGAAAATCCCACAAAACCAAAAAACAAACCAAAAAAACCCAGCCTAACTCTCATTACAAGATCTAGTATTAGAAGCAGGTGGTTTTGATTTCTGATTCTGTATTCAGCCTGTGCAGCCCTCTCAGGTGGACAGTGGGTCTGGGATCACCCACGTGTCCAGGTC